AATCTGACAGAATAGTCATGGCTGAGTCTGCTACTTCTAATAGATCAATTATAATAGCATTGTTTCTCTCCTTACTAGCAATCAGTCCTTCCAAGTTGGCCTTAGGTCTTTGCAGAGTCTCTATTAGGTCATCTGATCTGTTTGGCATGGCTGCTTCAACTGATAAGATGAAACAATGAAAATGTATTAATTTATTAAAGTCGTCATATGAAGATAACAAAGTAGATGTATCAGAAAAATAAAAAAGAAATTATTCAACGTTATTTACCGTGTGTTCTTGCTTTCTTAACCTTTGGAGTATCAGTTGTTGGTCTTTTGTCTGCCATTTTTAATGTTGTATGACTTGTTGGATGGATTTCAAAGTCTATCTGTTTATCCTTATATAGATTTATGGAATGATGCTTTACAAACACAGAATGCGGATAATCATAATGTGAACAGGCAACTATTCATTAAAGAATACAATTGTTATTTATGGTTAAAGCAATTGTTCGGATAATGTACAATTGAATTCGAACATTTAATATGAATATGACTTTTTAATTATCAATAATATAGATTTAGGAATTAATATAGATTTAATTATTATTATTTTTTTCTTTTTGAAATAATACGTGTATAAAATTTGTGCAATATAATTTATCATATTATGGTAAAGTCTTATTTCATAAGATGTTTTAATTATTAGGTTGATATGAATTCGTTTATTTTCTTAATCAATTAATAGTAAATGAAAAATTGGTTTATATTATCAGTAAGTTTAGAGGTTTTTTCACTGCCAATATTGTTCGGCTTTCCATGAGTGATGTTTATTCCATAGTACAGCCAAAAAGAATATTATGATCATTTTGTTCGGCACATCCATGAGCTAATGGTGATAACAGGATTCTGTAAAATAGCTCATTTCAAAATTTTCGTCCACTTTAGTAGTTGACAAATAATTTATTGGCTTTCCGAGTCATAGAATAGTGTTAATAGTTGTGACTAAATTGTCTGTTTCATTGTTCGTCATGTTAATTTGACTGTTTCCAGTGAAATAGTTCACCGCAAAGTTTTTTTTTTTCCAGTTTACTAGTTGACAAATAATTTGTTCAAATGGTGATTTAACTTGTCATCAAAGCTGGTCGCCATAGCCGTCATAGAATAGTGTTAACATCTATAAGCAAATTGTTCGTCACACACATTTGTTAAGCTCTGATGTTCCCAGATAAATTGTTCGGCATGTTCATTTTAATTGTTCGCTGTCTACGTTGTAAATTATTATATTAATTCTGTATATACAATCGGAAATTGGTAATATGCTGTGCGATTTTATTTATTTATTTTTTGTTTGCTGTTATAGATTGTATTTAACACATACTATTTGGTAGTCTACAAAATATCTTTTGCAGGTGATATCTTGTGGTGTTGTTGTTCTGTCCCAATGTATGATATTTTCATCTTCTTGATTACAAGTTCCTAATATTTTTTGTTTGAGGACAATTTCTGCTGTTGGCGTCATAGATTTGAAGGTTTCTTGGCAATTTCTAATCTTGTCGAAAGAATTTGATTCTTTCACCAATTTGAGGAGAATTTGTATACCGTTGTTATCATATATTGTCAGCAACACAATTGCAAAAATATATAGTGATTGTTGGGTCTTTGTTTTGCAGGCTACAACTAGCATAGGTATACCTATGTAAACATCATGTTTGATGAATACTAAATGTGTTCCAAGAAGTAACAAAGCATGTTCATTTTCTGTTTTTGCCAAGATCTTCAAAATTGAAAGTCCTTTTGATGCAATTATTAGCAGTTTGTGTCTTTGTTTAAAGATTTGTCTTTGTTTAAAGATGTTTCTTTTATACAGAACTTGCTTTACGTTTGATTGTTTGTATAGAAAATTGCATCTACAATTTGTTAGATAAAAGAAACATTAATTGTATACAACAATATATAATAATCAATATTCTACATGTTTGTAATACTTAAGTCAAACAAACGACTTGTAGAGTTTTGTTGCTATTCTTAGTTGCTTTAACGATAATTTTCTGTAGTATTTCTTGTGGTGGTTGTAAGAAATTTGTTTTTTGTGCCGGCGAAATTTGGTTAGTCATGATGATTTTTTCTTTTGTTTAAACGTTTGTAACATTATGTTTTTGCTATGTCAATTCTTGTTTATATAACTTTTGAGTAGATGCTGAATAGTCGTCGTATTATTTTGAATTAAATATGTCGTTTAGTATTTCTGAAAACTGATAATTGTAATTAATATTTATTAAGCATTTAATGAGTTTATTTCGTATATCGATCAATTTATTTTGTTTATTATATATTTTGTTGAATAATTTCTATTATAAAGAAATTATAATAATCTTTTATATAAATTGTTATTAAAACATGCATTAATAATGTTAACTATTCCTAGGAAATATAAAGAAAACATTGTAATGGAAAAAAATATTTATTATATAATTAATGTATTAGATTTTGTAGAAATCATTTTTTTTTAATTTTAAATTATAGTCTGTTTTTTTTTTTTTCATTTTTTGTTCTCTCTCTCTCACCTTTTTTTTTTTTTTTTTTTTTATAAAATGATTTGCATCTTATGTTGTTGGTATTTAGTATTGATGTTTTTATTTTATTTTATTATGAAACATTTTGTTTTGTATAATTAGTAGGTTAATAATACGTTGTCGTTTTCGTTTTAAAAATTTTAAGTCAGTAAAACGTTATGGTTTATAGAGTTGGTCACTTTTAAATAAGATTTTCAATTTGGGTCATTGTGCATCAATCGTTGACTTTTGAGTAATGCTATATGCACTAACCAATGTGTACTAATCCAAGTACTAATATTGAAAATTTGAAATTTTTTTTGGAGGGAATTTCAAATTTCCAATATTAGTACTTGAATTAGTACACATTGGTTAGTGCAGATAGTTTTATTCTTGACTTCCAGATGTCCAGATTACATATTTTCTTTTCATTGTCAATGACATAACCCCAAACTTTTTAACAATTTTTCCACTGTTCTTTTTTAATTGCAGTCTATTGTTCTTGGGAATTTTTTATCAGAATATATTGGGAACGTTAAATAATTCATTCACAACGGTAAACTTTTTTTTTTTTTTTGGTTGTTGTCTTTATTTTATTTTACATTTGCAGATAAAGTGGTTGAGTAAATGCTTAAGACATAATCAGGTAGAAATTTGACATTTTAAATAGTTTGTAATTTAATTATGTCTTCATTTGTTGTAGCTAAATTGTGATGTTTGTTAATTCAGATTACATTTTTTAAATTGTGGTTGATTGGTTTAATTATGGGTTCTTACTTTTCTGATGTTTTTATTAATTAGTTATTAGTTATTGATTTATTTGTAAATTGGTGATACCAATGTTTAGTGGAATGAATGGTTTGTTATTTGTTGATGACTAATTTGATTTTTCTTTCCTACATCTAATAGCATGTTATTTTACATTGTAGATATGCTGCCTAAGGATGTGATAAAGTTTGTTCGTAGACTTGTGATTCATCTATATCAGTGTTTGATCCTGTCACACCTGCTTCTGGTTCATGTCATGTTGAATTGATTGAAGAAAAAAATAATGATACAGAAGAGCTTCCATTATGTAGATTGATAAAACGGCAGAAAACATATCACCAAGAGAATGCTGATCGGAATCTGATATTGATTTTCAAGCTTTACCTGCTAAAGATTTAGACAATATAGTCTTGAATGTGACTAGATATGTATATTTTTTTGACACTATTGATTTAAGATTTTCATTTGTAATATTCTAATATTAATTTTTTTTTTTGGTTTGAATTGTTTGAAATATGGTCATGATGTTATGTTAGAAGTCAGGGAACGGCGGCTAGCTGCAAAAGCCATGGTGTCAAATTTAGAGCAACAAAACGAAGCCATAATCTCTTACAACCGTAAAATTGAAGAGAAGAAGAAGGTTTTGAAAAAGAAGTTAGATGAGGTCGAACATGATTTGAAACGTTGTGATGATGCACTTAAAGTGCCGAACACAAAATTGGAATTCAGCACGAAGAAAATGAACTCCTCACAAAAATAAATAAAAAGGAATTGTGTGAGGAGATTGCAAAGATAAAATCTTTAATTGTTCAGGCTGAAAAAGAAAAGGAAGAGGCTTGTGATACTGTGATAGATATGTATGTAGCCACCAGGAAAGCCTGTGCAAATGCATTCAAATTGAAATATCCAAATGAAGACTCTATGTTTTTAGAGAAAGTTGTGTTGAAGGAGGACCCTTCTTCTTCTAGCAAAGTTTGTGTTACAGTCTGTAGAAATGAAAATGGTGTGTAACTGTTGTTTGTAACATTGAATGAACTTTTGATATGGTCTTTTTGGTACAATTACAAAAGCAACAATAGATCTATCCTTGTATTTTGTTGAACATTTCTTTAAAAACAATGTTTTTTTAATTTCTCTCCTGGTTCTTCTTCTTATTGGACCAATAAGATCTTGATCCCTTCTCTTGAAGTTACCTTTGATAGAGTGATGTATAACTGTCCATGAGTAAATACCTATTTCTTTTTGTTGATTGCATGCAAAAGGCAACTGCAATTGGCAGTTGTCTTCTTTTTAGTCTGAAAGGCCATCTTGTGTCGGCATTGGACATCACTATTCTTGGAATCACAACATTATGCCCAATATTTGATCCTGTAATAATCTGTGCTTGTATGCACCAGTTCCCTAGATGGGTTACAATTAATCTTGTGCCATTGCAAAGACCATCTGCTTGGTTCAAATTACGTAGCAACATAATTGGAACCCCAACTTTTAACTTTAATTCATGTTTCGGCATACCGGAGCCTATCAAGGTGTTTAGGAACTCAATTGCGTATAGGATATCGTCATCATTTGACGTTCCTCCTGCTTTGCAAGTTGTATCCGAACTGTAGTATGTCTTCTCTTGTGATAGCAACCTCTGAATAATATACTCATTTAGTTCATGAACTACGTCGTTTTTTGCTGTAAGAATTGCATATACTAAGCATTTCCTATCTGATCACATAAACCTGGGAAAACAACATTGAGAATTGTCTCTTGTGGAGCACAATCTTCAGTAAGATTTAAGTCATAAGGAATTTCTAACAGGCTTTCATCTTCTAATACATCTATTTCTTCTCCAATACAAAGTAATCATCTGTCAAAAGCAGACATCTTATCTAAATCTACAAGCTGTTGTGTTTTTTCTTTTTTTTTTTTTTTTTTTTTTTCCAATCTCATGTTTCCTATAAGTTTCAACATTGTTATATTTTTCCAAAGATGAGATGAACATAAACATGCGTGCATTATATCAATTTTTTTTCCTTTTGGAATAACAAGCAAAATTTGTCTGATATTGCCGCCAAGAGCAGCAGTCATATCATACCTCCAAACATCTTGTCAACGTTTGATTGGTCATCATCATATAAAATATCTTTCAATGATCTTTTAAGAGCTTCAAAGCAATTTCTATTTGCCATAGGTGCGTCATCCCAAATTATCAAACACATTTTCCAGATAAGATCTGCCAATTGCGTGCCCTTTTTAATATCGCATGTACTCTTGTCAGTGATATCTAAAGGTATCTGAAAACGTGAATGTGTTGTTCTTCCTCCAGGTAATAACAATGCAGCAATACCTGAGGTTGCAACAACAAGTGCAATTTTGCCTTCACATTGTAACTCGCTTGTTATTGTTGACCATAGGAATGTCTTGCCTATTCCACCGTGACCATAGGAATGTTATATTGCTAGCAATGTCATAACTCATCTCCTTAACAATCAATCTATTTTGTGTACTCTCAAATTCAGAATGATTTGGAATCGGAATTCCATGGAAATCAGCCATTGTTTTCCCTCCCTTCTTAATCAAGTCTTCAATTTCAATCAATGCATGATTTTGTAGTTGTTCATCACTGAATCTAGCTGTTTGCATTCCCGTTTGCTGTTTCACAATATATGCCATATCTTCAGATAACTTAACTGCATTTTTTCTTCACAAATCTGCAGGACTAACAACTTCATTGAATAACAGAATGGTTACAAATAGCTGTCATAAAAGACTTCCAAAAGCCCACACTGATGCTTCGTCTAGACAATCATTCCATTCTTTATCATCATCCAGCAGACCCAAAGCGTAACATGCATCTTTGAATGGAGGGTGTATTTCTCCATTTACAGTTCTAATATCTGTAAACTATGTTGCTCCTTTAACTAAATTTAGGAGCGTTCGTAAATAATATTTCTCGCCACTACCTGGAAATGCAAAGTAGATTCTGCTAATACACATTCCATTTTTTCTTTCTGTCCATTTTCTCTTTGTATCATTCCAAACCCACTTACTTGGAAAATTAGAATACATCAATGATCTTGCTTGAGGGTTTTCTTCATTGCATTTCATCCACTTTGTTAATTTAGTCTGTGTAACAGCTCTGCTTTCTAAATATGTTACTAAACACTTATCTAGATTGAAGATTACTGTTTGTTCGTTCTCCAGGTGGAATGGTAATCTCTCAACTGCCGGTTCTTTGTACTAGATATCAAATTGAAATATTTTCCAGCAAGATTAAATAGCAGATATGTATTTGTAATTTGAATATTGAATTCATTAATGTTATAATTATAATAAATAATAACAAATGATACTATGAGATTATATGTTATCTGTTTGTATATACCTGCAATCAAGATAAGCTTTGATTTCGTCCACCATTCCACCGTTAGTAGATTCATAACTCACTCTGCTATCGTTATTAGACTGTATAGAAACTGTAATTCTGTCAGGCCCTTAGTTGATGTATTTGAACAAATATTTGATTGACCTGTGTTGATTACAGATCTCGATATTAAGGTGGGCATCAAACTTTATCAATAAATTCCTATTGTAAGGAACGACAAAAAGATTATTCAGTTTGACTCATTTTTTCTCAATAAATATCCTGCCTTCTATACAGTGGGTATCCTTCATTATCAACAGTTTTGGTTTTGACAAACTTCTTTGGAAAATGTTTTTGACATTTTCCTTTCTGCATGCAAGGGGATTTTTTATTCGCATCACCGCATGGGCCATGGATCATGTAGTTTTTGACAGAAACAAAAGCAAGAGGATCGCTTTCTTTATCTGGTATTTTAGCAAATATCATATTATCTATTTTTGATATCGGAGGATTCTTGTAGTTAGGAGCCAGAAAAACCAATATATGTGCATGTGAAAGTCCTCTTTTTTGGAACTCAACTACATAGACAACTGGGAAAACGAATATGATATTATTAATATTTGTTAATATACATTAATTGTATATGATAAATAATTAATAAAGTAGTTATATTTAAAAGAATGAATTTGTCATTCATCAGAGTACTTACTTGCTTCAATCTCACCAAAATATTTCTCGTGTTTTATTTCTCTCATCAATTCAAGTAATTTTATCTCAAACACTCTGCAGATTGTTACTCTACATTCTTCATCACAATGTCCAACAGCATTCTGTATAAATTGAATTTCTGGCCATTTTGGATTACATGTGAATGTCAAGAAAATATAAGGATATCCAGAAGTCCTGCAAATTGTCATAGCATCTTAATAATTTTGAACACGATATCGGGGACTGCGGGTATGAGAAGATGGCAACAATGTAGAATTGCCTATATGTTGTGGATCCACATCTCCATTTGAAATAGCATCCATCAATCCACCATACAAATCATTTCTTAATTTTTTTTTTTTTTTTTCTGATTATTTCTAATCCAACGAAACCTTTCTTCTTCAATATATTGTTGTAGCAATTTGCCAAATTTCATTAGTGTATGACCTTCATTTACTCTATATTTCAATCAAAACGCATAAAATTGACACATTGTTAACCTGTTTCTCTTAGAAGTTTTTTGTTCTCTAGAACTCTATGATTAATGTCAATTTTATATCCATCTTTCACGTATGGAAATAAAATTGAATAGCTTGGATGTAAATCATTAATTCTCTGAAAACCTTCTTTGGAATGGTAAACAATAACATATTTTCTAAGTTAGATAGTCCAATATCACCAACTATTAGACCTGCAATTTCAGATGTAGCCTGCAGATTGTACTATCTTCCATCTCTTTCTCTATGCATTTTTAATTGCAAATGCATTTCTTGAACATTGTTTGAATGAATAGTGTCCCTGACAAACCAAAAAACTTTAACCAATTCATTGTTCCTGTCTAGCATTAATTGCAATTCCTGCCTCAAATCATTGTCAATGGAACCGTCATCTAGATCTCTCTTAGAAGTTTTCTGTTCTCTAGAACTCTTGATTAATGTCAATTTTGTATCCATCTTCCCCGTATGGGAATAAAGTTGGATAGCTTAATGCCATAAAACTTGGATGTAAATCAGTAATTCTCTGAAAACCTTCTTTGGAATCGTAAACAATAACATATTTTCCAAGTTAGATAGTCCAATATCACCAACTATTAGACCTGCAATTAACCTTCTTTGGAATCGTAAACAATAACGTATTTTCCAAGTTAGATAGTCCAATATCACCAACTATTAGACCTGCAATTTCAGATGCAGGCTGCAGATTGTACTATCTTCCATCTCTTTCTCTATGCATTTTTAATTGCAAATGTATTTATTGAACATTGTTTGAATGAATAGTGTCCCTGGCAAACCAAAAAACTTTAACCAACTCATTGTTCCTGTCTAGCATTAATTGCAATTCATGCATCAAATCACTATCAATGGAACCTTCATCTAGATAATCTTTCATACAATTCAACATGTGACTGGTTTCACACTGTGTGTCGTATATATAGAGTTGTGCAAATGTAGGTTTCCTTCCAGTAGGTGGAAGCAACGATCCTATATAATGGTAATTCTGTCCGCAAAGTCTAAAAACAAATGCACCATTGCCTTTGTTGATGTCACAATCAATTGTCCCTCCCATTGAAGTAAATGAGAATACTATATTGTACATTCTTATTTTGTTTCTGAATTCAACTCCTTTTGATCTAGTGGCTACATCTAATAATCCTTTCAATGGTTCAGGTGGTTCTTTCCATAGTGGTATTTCAACTTTGCCATCCATACAACATAACAAAAATGCAGGAGAGATGGGTTTTTTGCTCTTAATAGTACACTCTTCATACCACAAAATTGCTTCACAATATTTGCAAGTGGACAGTGGTTCACCAAAGTTCAATGGCTTTGCATTTGCTGTCCACACGAAAAAACAATTGCAATTATAAGAAGAAGATAACATTGCTCAAAAAAAATATATATATATATATATTCGATGATAGTTATAAAACTCACGGCCGTGTTTTTCTTATGGAGTAATGTCTACATTAGAATTTTTTTTTTCCCTTTCATAACAGCTGCAAATTATTTATATATAGTAATGAGATAAATATTATCATAATCAAAACATTGTAATTATCTGCAAAAGTTTGTAAAACTCACGTTGTTTTTTTGACCGAGTGACCTCCTCTTCACCTTTTTGTTTTTTAGATAAGTTAAGAGTTGCAAATCATAAACGTAATAATTAGATAAATATCAAGATAATTAAAATATTGGAATAATTCTAAAACGTCAATTTTCTTACCTCTTAGTTTTTGCAATTCAACCATTCTGGATGCCCTATTCTCTCTGAATTTTTGCTTTTTCGATATATATATCAACTGGAATTCAAAATACTAACAATAATATTGTCAGATTGCTATAAAACAAATAAAGATGTATTTGTACACAAAATAATTAACAAATATTTTTTCTCATATTAAATGAATTTAAAAAAGCACAATTGCCTTGATTTTCAAGTACATCATGCTATACATTGCTCTGGTTTTCAGAAGTGCCTTCATAAGATGTATTGCAAATTCTTTGTACATAAAATAATTAACAAATATTTATTTATCGTATTAAATGAATTTAAAAAATCACAATTACCTTGATTTTCAAGACATCATGCAATACATTGCTCTGGTTCTCAGAAGTGCCTTCATCACAATGATGCTTTTTCGACGGAATATGTAAATCAAAAGCTACAAATTGTGAATATATTAATTAGATAAATAATATGATAATAAGAAATTATAATTATTTGTAATCAAAATATCCATTACGTCTCTTTCTTTTTAATTCAGACATTCTATATGTCGTATCCTCTTTGTTTTTTTTTTTTTTTTCGCTTCTTCAGGATTTGATTTGGTATTCAAAATAATAATAATAACATTGTCAGCTTGTCACAAAACGAACAACTTGTTCTTGCAAATACCTTATACATAAAATAATTAACAAATATATATCTCTTGCATTAACTCAATTTAAATGTATATGATTTAATAACAGCTATGTATAATCTATAGTTTTTCTGATAGTTCAAAGGGCGAACAATTGTAATTGAAAATTGTTCGGCATATGTTTATCTAATTGTGCAAACTAAATTCACAAAGGAATAATGAATCGTTCGCTATAGTTCGACATGGTTTTTCTTATAATGGTGTAACAACATTGTTGTTCGACACTACCTTGCTAATGTACAGTTTATTATCAGTATCATAATCGGAATTAAAGTTATTGTTTGGTATAGTTAATACTAATTACATATGATATACCTTAGAATAGGATATAAATGACAACTACATGTATCACAAGTAATGAATAAATTCAAGTAATGAACAAATTCATATTAAAATATCAATGTTTTCTAATACAAGTTCATTTATATTAACACATACATAATATTTCATTAATTCACAACAAAGTAAAGAACCAAACAAAAAAAAGTAATTGATTTACAACAAATGGGTCTCAATGATAAATACAATAAAATTTATTAACGAAATTGCATTACCTTTATCAATAACTATACTGTAAAGTTGAAGATTGTATGAATACAATCACTATGAACTATATATCGAGCATTGCAGAAATAGGAGATGGATTTGTGTATCTTTATCAATATTAAAACTCAAAAAGAA